AACGGATTCCATTGCCAGTAAAATCATACTTTTCATTTCATTTAACGAGTCATGTCAACTATTATACAAGATCAAATTATGTTATTTTATTTCCTTCTGTCAACCATAAGGCTATTATTATTTATTTTTATAAGACTGAATTTTCTTATTCTTTTTCCTTTCTATTACACACCATATTGATAATCGTAAATAATATTTTTCTTAATTTACTACAAACTTTTTTTTATATTATATTACACTAACTGATTTAACAATTATATTTCCAATGTTTATTTTATTATTTTGGTATTAGACTTAAAGATATTGAAGCTAATATTGATACCTAATACTTGCTATTTTCAACCATTACACATTACATTATTTTTCACATCTTTTATATCACCATGAGTTATGGTGTTATTGGCCCATTAGCCCGATTTCTCTTTCAGTTGTAAATTGTTGCTATTAGCATATGTTGTTTCTTTCTTTTATAAATATGGATACTGTACACTTCCTGTCTGAAGAGTTTAACAGTATACATTTATTTATTCATAATTATAAACCAAAATACTTTATAAGTGTCAAAATTACGCATAAATTACCACAAATATAAGGCCAGAACTATGCCTTACTGTTTGTCAGGCGCTTTATACTCAACTTCTGTGTTGAGAATAAAATAGACTCTGCTTACAAAATTCTGGTAAGCATTTGAATAATAAAAGTACAATTATTTTACGCAATTCCGAATACCATGTGTCAGTATTACTACATCTTAAGCTCAGACTACATGAGACTGCAATTACTGTAAAATTATACGCAAAAAATAACTAAACTATCAGTTCTTACAATCAAGTAAATAAAAGTAAAGAGACAGTTTATGTAACTGTTAGTTTGCACCGCAACTTATCAATACCAGTTCTATTTACGATGAGCTTCCTCATCAGGTACAAGCTTCGTCGACTTACTTCTTTTCTGCTGATATTTGGCAAATGAATACCACACACCGCCAGCTGTATTGATAACCAATCCAGACACATTCAAAGCATGGACTTGAACTCCACCCAGTAAGAAGAAACCAAGGGTCTGAAGAAGGAAAAATCAACGGGTTTAATCCTTGCAGTTAAAACTAGAAACAAATGAACATAAAGGGTATGCAAGCAAATTTAACTACAAAAGGAAAAAGATGGATAGATAATGTATATATGTATGAACTCGGCCTGCTGTGACAGTTTTTCTATGGCAAACACAGAATCACTCCCAGCTTACCGTGGAAACAACCCCTTTGAGAACGCCAACAATAGTTGTAGTTAAGGCTGAATTAACAATTGTACACAAGAACATCGTGAAGTTGAGAACAATGCCCATCACCAATGAAAGAATAAGAACCATCAAAAATGAAAAAGAATAACTCTGCAAAGGAAAACAAAATATTAGCTTTGGCGTCAATTTATCAATAATAAAACATGGTACAGGTTTGTCATCTAATTAGATACTGCAGATTTTTAGCTTTTCCAAAATATGTTGCAAGCTATGACTCCAGTTGTCGACCATCAAAACGACTTTTTTATGATCCTTCCACAAAATGATTACTAATTTAATTTAGGAGAATTGAAGGAAGTGAAACAAGTAATCTATTGATTTAATTTACAACTGTAGAATATCTGGTAAATAAAAGGACAATTGTTTAATGGAAGAAAAAAACGGGCCCAGATCCTGCCAAAATCAAAAGTTGCAGCTTTGTCTTGTTTTCCACCATACAACAAGTGATCTTAACCTCACACCCCCGTGTTCTTTTTCTAGTTAACATACCCTATCCTAAGAAACTCAAAAATCACATGCCCAATGGACCATTACATAGAAAATTTGCTCAAAACTACAGAGCGGACAATATCAATAAGAGGAAGGAAATATTAGTGCATATATAATTTCTTTCTATTTGTCCAACAACATAGAAAAACTATCATAAGCAAATGAGCATATCTGCTGTTTGGGATTAACTATAGCTATCACCGAGGCATTTACCAGTTCCTTGTGAAATAATTGAATTTATTTTATTGTTCCATGTGAAATAATTGAATTTTATTTGATTGTATACATAAACAGATAAATGTCCAAATATTCAATTCATTCTAGCATAATCATGAATCAATCCAAATACCAAGAACCAGATTAACATTCTGACCTGTGCAAATAATAAAGATAAAGACTTTGGGAATTCCCCAGTGGCTATGATGAGAAACATCAAAAATGGAAGAGATAAAAAACTGTTATAGAACATGATTTCCAAGGATGAAAGTCCATCCTCAGCACCAGATCTTTCCACCAGCACAAGGTACATGGTCTGCATATATGAGTAAGCAGCACTATGAACAAACAGTGCAAAGTTACAGCGTCGATTCATTCATAAAATTATGATTTAAGAACTAAGATATGTGAGCATATCACCTGGAAAAAAACGGAAACAAAAGCCATGCTATACCCAAAAAGGTCAAAGGAAAAATCTCCGAGGGCAGCAATGAGAACTCCAGCAGCAATCAATATAACTGAAAGAGCCACCTTAAATTTGAAAGATAATAGACATATTAACATATATCATCTAAAGAGAAGAAAAGAGCAAAATGCCACCAATCATTATAAATCGCACCCAAGGCTATACACTTCAACGTTACATCCAGTTCATTGTTTACAAGGTACCATATCCAATTTTAGAGTCCACCACTGATCAGTATTTCGACAAGAAGATCATAGTTTATTCTTGTTTGCTGCAATATCTAATTTTTAACATCGTTTAAATTCCATTACCAATGATTCGTCCCCCTTTCTAAATTCCACAATTTATTTTCTGAAAAACCTCCTTGTTGCAACTAAGTTCAACCAATAAATTTCACAGTCTCTAATTTTCGTATATATAAAACTATTTTGATAAGGTGGACAGAATGAATAAAACCTCAAATAACAGCCAATACCTGAGATGTAGGTCTCCCCTTTCCCGAGAAGTACCCAGCAATAAGTACAGCAAGTGGCGTAAGCCTCTTGATCGCAATATACATTGGGATATTGACTCCTTTCAAACTGGCCAAAGCAAAAGCAACATTGGCATTATAGAAAATTGAAAGCGGGAGAAGTCGCTTGGCCGTTGTCATTTCCAGTCCTCTCGCCTTTGTGAATCCCGCACGTCTACCAACATGAATAAGCAAAGAAGTAGCCAATTGCTGAAAAATACAAATGTTGTCACTATCAAGAAGAAAGAGAAAAACCAAAGGGTCGAAAATCTGTTATCTTATCATCGGCAAAGGCAGTAGTAATACCTGCAAAGTGAGAAGAGTCATTGAATATGCATACTGCATAAGAACAGCCTTGTTGATAAAAACCATGGCCATGGAGGCAAACCCATATGCCACAGCCGCGAACAAACTACGTGCAAACAAAATCTCAGTCATGGAAGCTATTATGACCCTTCAATAATTAAAATTTCTAAGAGCAAGATTTAGCGACGAATCTCAATGAAGAACCAGTCATTGAAAAGGTGAATTGCGAAATAATGAGGAAAAAGAGAAGCAAGTGGAAAACCTTGAGAAGGAGCTGGTTTCTGCATCGGCGCGGATCTCCATGAGTGATTAATGGCGAGAACGAGATCCAATAAGTCAAAGATTAAGAAAAAAAACTAGAAAAAAAAAAATCACAATCTTTAAAAAAAATATAAGATCATATTAAATAAAAAATAATAAAGCAAATAAGAAAATTGAACACATGAAGATAAAACAAATGCTATGTACTTAGGAGTGCGTGTGCATGTTCTACGTTCGGTGGCCTTTCATTCTCCAATATACTGAGGCAAATTTCTTTAATTAGTTTGGTTGCCTTTTGGTATTAAAATAAACAAATTTTATGAGAAATGCTAGTTCTATATCTTTCAATACTTTCTTTCTCACCTACTATTATTAATTAACTGGAATTATTCTTACTCTCATTTTTATGAGTTTCACTTTCAAGTTGTTACTTTTATACATCCACAAATACTGAACATATAATAACTATTTAATTTGACATTTTTAACAGAATTATGATATATCATTTAAAATAATTATAACAATTTTTTTAAAAGAATATAATATATTTATTTAAGAAGACAGTGTTCTCAAGCATTGAGTTAAGGTGTAAAAATGGTCGTTAATTAAATATATTGAGACCTAGATTTCGTTGAAATGCAAAAGGTTTCAAGCATAAAAATGGCATTTTTTTTTAATTTGTGACGATTGGATTTGGAGTGTGTGTGTTTTTCTATCTCAACACTCATTTTTCCAACATCCCAAAAACAAGTTATCCGTGAAATTTAACGGATTCCATTGCCAGTAAAATCATACTTTTCATTTCATTTAACGAGTCATGTCAACTATTATACAAGATCAAATTATGTTATTTTATTTCCTTCTGTCAACCATAAGGCTATTATTATTTATTTTTATAAGACTGAATTTTCTTATTCTTTTTCCTTTCTATTACACACCATATTGATAATCGTAAATAATATTTTTCTTAATTTACTACAAACTTTTTTTTATATTATATTACACTAACTGATTTAACAATTATATTTCCAATGTTTATTTTATTATTTTGGCATTAGACTTAAAGATATTGAAGCTAATATTGATACCTAATACTTGCTATTTTCAACCATTACACATTACATTATTTTTCACATCTTTTATATCACCATGAGTTATGGTGTTATTGGCCCATTAGCCCGATTTCTCTTTCAGTTGTAAATTGTTGCTATTAGCATATGTTGTTTCTTTCTTTTATAAATATGGATACTGTACACTTCCTGTCTGAAGAGTTTAACAGTATACATTTATTTATTCATAATTATAAACCAAAATACTTTATAAGTGTCAAAATTACGCATAAATTACCACAAATATAAGGCCAGAACTATGCCTTACTGTTTGTCAGGCGCTTTATACTCAACTTCTGTGTTGAGAATAAAATAGACTCTGCTTACAAAATTCTGGTAAGCATTTGAATAATAAAAGTACAATTATTTTACGCAATTCCGAATACCATGTGTCAGTATTACTACATCTTAAGCTCAGACTACATGAGACTGCAATTACTGTAAAATTATACGCAAAAAATAACTAAACTATCAGTTCTTACAATCAAGTAAATAAAAGTAAAGAGACAGTTTATGTAACTGTTAGTTTGCACCGCAACTTATCAATACCAGTTCTATTTACGATGAGCTTCCTCATCAGGTACAAGCTTCGTCGACTTACTTCTTTTCTGCTGATATTTGGCAAATGAATACCACACACCGCCAGCTGTATTGATAACCAATCCAGACACATTCAAAGCATGGACTTGAACACCACCCAGTAAGAAGAAACCAAGGGTCTGAAGAAGGAAAAATCAACGGGTTTAATCCTTGCAGTTAAAACTAGAAACAAATGAACATAAAGGGTATGCAAGCAAATTAAACTACAAAAGGAAAAAGATGGATAGATAATGTATATATGTATGAACTCGGCCTGCTGTGACAGTTTTTCTATGGCAAACACAGAATCACTCCCAGCTTACCGTGGAAACAACCCCTTTGAGAACGCCAACAATAGTTGTAGTTAAGGCTGAATTAACAATTGTACACAAGAACATCGTGAAGTTGAGAACAATGCCCATCACCAATGAAAGAATAAGAACCATCAAAAATGAAAAAGAATAACTCTGCAAAGGAAAACAAAATATTAGCTTTGGCGTCAATTCATCAATAATAAAACATGGTACAGGTTTGTCATCTAAGTAGATACTGCAGATTTTTAGCTTTTCCAAAATATGTTGCAAGCTATGACTCCAGTTGTCGACCATCAAAACGACTTTTTGATGATCCTTCCACAAAATGATTACTAATTTAATTTAGGAGAATTGAAGGAAGTGAAACAAGTAATCTATTGATTTAATTTACAACTGTAGAATATCTGGTAAATAAAAGGACAATTGTTTTATGGAAGAAAAACGGGCCCAGATCATGCCAAAATCAAAAGTTGCAGCTTTGTCTTGTTTTCCACCATACAACAAGTGATCTTAACCTCACACCCCCGTGTTCTTTTTCTAGTTAACATACCCAATCCTAAGAAACTCAAAAATCACATGCCCAATGGACCATTACATAGAAAATTTGCTCAAAACCACAGAGCGGACAATATCAATAAGAGGAAGGAAATATTAGTGCATATATAATTTCTTTCTATTTGTCCAACAACATAGAAAAACTATCATAAGCAAATGAGCATATCTGCTGTTTGGGATTAACTATAGCTATCACCGAGGCATTTACCAGTTCCTTGTGAAATAATTGAATTTATTTTATTGTTCCATGTGAAATAATTGAATTTTATTTGATTGTATACATAAACAGATAAATGTCCAAATATTCAATTCATTCTAGCATAATCATGAATCAATCCAAATACCAAGAACCAGATTAACATTCTGACCTGTGCAAATAATAAAGATAAAGACTTTGGGAATTCCCCAGTGGCTATGATGAGAAACATCAAAAATGGAAGAGATAAAAAACTGTTATAGAACATGATTTCCAAGGATGAAAGTCCATCCTCAGCACCAGATCTTTCCACCAGCACAAGGTACATGGTCTGCATATATGAGTAAGCAGCACTATGAACAAACAGTGCAAAGTTACAGCGTCGATTCAGTCATAAAATTATGATTTAAGAACTAAGATATGTGAGCATATCACCTGGAAAAAAACGGAAACAAAAGCCATGCTATACCCAAAAAGGTCAAAGGAAAAATCTCCGAGGGCAGCAATGAGAACTCCAGCAGCAATCAATATAACTGAAAGAGCCACCTTAAATTTGAAAGAGAATAGACATATTAACATATATCATCTAAAGAGAAGAAAAGAGCAAAATGCCACCAATCATTATAAATCGCACCCAAGGCTATACACTTCAACGTTACATCCAGTTCATTGTTTACAAGGTACCATATCCAATTTTAGAGTCCACCACTGATCAGTATTTCGACAAGAAGATCATAGTTTATTCTTGTTTGCTGCAATATCTAATTTTTAACATCGTTTAAATTCCATTACCAATGATTCGTCCCCCTTTCTAAATTCCACAATTTATTTTCTGAAAAACCTCCTTGTTGCAACTAAGTTCAACCAATAAATTTCACAGTCTCTAATTGTCGTATATATAAAACTATTTTGATAAGGTGGACAGAATGAATAAAACCTCAAATAACAGCCAATACCTGAGATGTAGGTCTCCCCTTTCCCGAGAAGTACCCAGCAATAAGTACAGCAAGTGGCGTAAGCCTCTTGATCGCAATATACATTGGGATATTGACTCCTTTCAAACTGGCCAAAGCAAAAGCAACATTGGCATTATAGAAAATTGAAAGCGGGAGAAGTCGCTTGGCCGTTGTCATTTCCAGTCCTCTCGCCTTTGTGAATCCCGCACGTCTACCAACATGAATAAGCAAAGAAGTAGCCAATTGCTGAAAAATACAAATGTTGTCACTATCAAGAAGAAAGAGAAAAACCAAAGGGTCGAAAATCTGTTATCTTATCATCGGCAAAGGCAGTAGTAATACCTGCAAAGTGAGAAGAGTCATTGAATATGCATACTGCATAAGAACAGCCTTGTTGATAAAAACCATGGCCATGGAGGCAAACCCATATGCCACAGCCGCGAACAAACTACGTGCAAACAAAATCTCAGTCATGGAAGCTATTATGACCCTTCAATAATTAAAATTTCTAAGAGCAAGATTTAGCGACGAATCTCAATGAAGAACCAGTCATTGAAAAGGTGAATTGCGAAATAATGAGGAAAAAGAGAAGCAAGTGGAAAACCTTGAGAAGGAGCTGGTTTCTGCATCGGCGCGGATCTCCATGAGTGATTAATGGCGAGAACGAGATCCAATAAGTCAAAGATTAAGAAAAAAAATTGATAATTTAATATAGAATTAGGCGTGTAGATGAAATAATTAATGAGAAGGGAGAAATTTAGTTGGAAAAAGCGAAAGGATAAAGGAATGAGAATAGTAAAAAGAAAAGAAAGGGACAAAGGAAGAGAAGAGTGACACAGCTGGCGCAGTGTGGCGTTTCATTCTCGAGTCGATTCTTCGAAGATGGCATGCACCAAACTTCGCCATCTCATTTCGATTGCCGCCATAGCTTTCACTCTCACCTATTTCGATCAGTTATTCATATGTAAAAATAAATAAAAGTAACTTTATTCAATAATCAAATAATTGCACCTTGTGATAATAAGTTTCAATAAATTAAAAATCTACTAATTTAAAAATGATTTTTAATTATTTCAATTGATTTAATACTCTAGTGTGGTCTAAATACAACATTTAATTAACTATAATTATAACGTTTGACATAATGTATGTGGAAAATTGAGTTTGTGTAATAAATATAAATCTCAATATAAATACCATTTCATAATATCACATTATTTAATTATGAAAAATGTTTTTTTAATAATTTTTTTTATAACTTTTTTTTTATAAATGATAGTTTGTGATTGATATTTTCAAATATACAAACCAATACAATAATAACACATAATAGGTTGTTAACATCTCATTATCCTTTAATTATATACAGAGAATCTTATATTACTTATGTATTTGATAATAATTAATTTGAAAATATTGTATCAAAATGATTATTTATATTATATATTATTAAAACAAACATATATTTAAACCTTTTAGCATAAAGATGCCTTGATACATCATTTAAATGTCATTTCATATGTAAGGATGTCAATTAATCTTGTAGTAACATAGAGTTTAAAACAAATTTTAATTTCCTCCTAATGTGTATAATTTATCTTATAAATGGGGAACTAAAATGAGCTTGAGAATGATCTAAATGAAATGCATGATAATAAACCTAATTACAACTACCTAAATTAAAGCAAATACGCTTGTATGAGAGAAAACCTAATTGTGCATAACAAAGTTAGTTGTCCAAATGCAAATGCAAACAAGTATAAAATTATCTTAATCAACTATTGAATAAATAATTTAACAAGAGAAATGATAGAATTAAAATTCTAACTAAACTTGTAAAACTAAACTAACATAATTAACTAACCTAACTAGCAAGAACTGAAAATAAAATTATAAACCTAAAATTGAATTCACAAACATGATTTTAACGTAGAAACAAATGCAAAACATAAATTAAAAGTTTAATCAAGCATCATAAACCAAATTTTTTTATTCAAAACTAAGTTATAACCAGTGGTGTGAAAATTATTTAGAATAATTATCTAATCTGTAAAATAGGAAAATTTGTGGCATATCTGGAATTAAATGCTTGTTGGAGTAAATTTCAAATGCTAAAAATGTAATGTGAATGGTAAAAACATAATTAAATGTGAGCGTCAAAATATATATAATATTTAGAACTATAAAAATTAAGAAAGCATGTAAGGATTAAGTAAAACCATCTACATCAGAAAACACTTCCTCTTGATGTTTATGTGATTCTACTTTTGACTGCCAAATAACATTTTTTATTTCAGGTGTATGGTCTATGTATTGATTTAAAAGAAAAAACCTCAAAAACTATATTCTTACATTCAAATTAGAGATAACTGGACCAACAATGCAATGCAAAAAAATAAACTAAATTGAATAATTGTGAAAAATATTATGGACCAAAAAAAAAAACAAAGATAACAAATTAATTGGTTTAATGTTTAGTTAGGTCATTTTTTTTACCAGAATCTTAAATAGGTCTTTTTCTTATTCGTTTTCTCAATTGAATTTTTATTTTTGAAAAATTAAAACAAATAGATATTTGTCATCAAATTGGACTAACGACGTTAGAATTATGTTGACCTGGATGTTGATGTTAATTTTTAATGATGTGGCAAATTTTTAGATAATTTTAGTTGAGTCTTGCATGATTTTTTTGTTTTTTTTTTAAATTAAAAAAAATAAGATAAATTAATTGAACTTGATTGTCTTTTAGAATTAGGGTTTTCACCGGTCACCATCTTCCTCCCTCAATCCTTTTGTTCACCAGGCACCATTAACATCGTTCAACCACCATTTTCATCACTCTCACAACCATAACTGCATTGTTTCTGAAAGTTAGGGATTTTGTTTGAGAGTTTAGGGTTCACTAAACGTCCATCAATGGTGAAAGAGGAAGTTGATGGCCGCCACGTCTCAACTATGAGCCGTCGTGAGGACACCGCCACCACATTTCAACTTACACGTGTCACCACAACCACCAACCACGGTCATCATGCGCAAACCACAAAGACGCAATAGACTCCTAATTGCGAAACCCAACAATCATCATCTTCTTCATTCATCACCATTGCTCCCACCATGAATCCAAATCACGAGTCACCCAAAGTCAGCAACCATGACAAACCTAAGTTTAGTGCATCCTCCATTGACGCATCAACACTAGCACCTTCGTGAAACCTAAATAGCATATCAGTTCAATCATGCAGCCTCTATGGGCACCGCGACAGAGATAACGATCCAACCTGCAAAGAGAAATCAAAATCATAGAACCAAAAATAGCAGCAACCCATTCAAAGTGAGAGAGTCTTGAATCAGAGAACCCAACATCTTCGTCCCAAATCTCTTCAAACATCAACCTTACGAATGAACCCTAATTTGAAAAAAAAAGGGGTAAGTTCCCCCATTTTTTTTTTGAAGAAAGGGTAAGTCCTCTCAATTTTTTAATTCAAAAACAAAAATTATACCATATCATTTAAAAAAAAGTCAGCATGTCACGTACACACCACTCAAACGTTTGTCTAATTTGATGGCAAGTCTATTTGTTTTAATTTTTCAAAAATAAGGACATGATAAAAACGAATAAGTATGAGACCTATTTGAGATTCTGGATGAAAGAAAAACCTACCGAAACATTAAACCAAAATTAATTATACACTTATTAAAAAAAATCTACTTAAAAATTAAATTAACACATTTTCAAAATTAATTGAGATTTTTATAGTGAAAACCAAGTCTAGACTAAAAATAGTTTTTAGAACTAAATAAGATCCAAAAAGAATGTTATTAATTATGAAAAACATTACAAAATAAGGACTTATCAATATTAAACCTTTATGATACCTTTATGATGTTTTTCAATATGGAAAAATGAAAAACTGTAATGCATATAATTTTTTTCATGTTTTCCATCCGTCCAATAATAATTGGTCGAAGTTAGTCCAATGAAAAATAAATTAAAAGTTATATATCCTTAAGTTTTAATTTCACTATTAATTTGAAAAATATAATATATATATATATATATATATA